CAATCGGGGAGTAAGGAGATTGAATGATAGAGAATTGCACAACGATTTAGAGTGGTTCGACTTCTCAACCAAGTATACATCCACTACTTTAGCTCCTCACTAAGGATTTTCCAACAAGTTCACTAATTTTTTATTTCTTTTTAAGGACAAAGAGATAACCTTTACAACTCCCTAGTTTTTCACGGGATAAACTAAAACCTTTCCCTAGCTTTTACACAGGCTTAGCTAGAACATTTTCCCTTAACAAAAGGATAAAAGAAGTAAACAAATAAACCTCTCAAAGGTAGGTGTTTACAATAATTAAGCTTACAATAACAAATATTTACAAGAGAAAGGAAAATAAGAATAAAAAGCTATTCCCTTGTGTTTGATTGCTTGGATAGTTGTTCTCATGCTTCTTCAAGTGTCCTCAGCTTGTATTTATAGCTTGAAATGAGTTTGAAGTCGTATATAGCCGTTGGGATGTTTTGGATTCGTTTGGGGATTATGTTTCTGCAAAATAGGCTGCCCATAACAGAGGGTATCGATACACCTTCATCAAATTCAAATTAAACTAGCCGTTGCAACCAGAGTGTATGTATACACTGCAGGGTGTATCGGTACACCAGTGTATGGATACACTCATAGGGGTATCGGTACCCCTTTTTGCATTCGGTGTTTGAGCAGTCATAGGTGTATGGATACAACTGCAGGGTGTATCGGTACACCAGTGTATGGATACACTGCAGGGTGTATGGATACCTTTTAGCATTTTTGCTCAAATCTGAATTTAATAGACTTTGAATTATTTTTAAAACATTTTTAAAACTTTGAATAAATTCAATTCAAGTCCAAAAATATTTTGCCTGAAATTTGTTATATCAAAACATAATTCAACATATACTTTTTATTTTTTGGGTAATTTTTGGATAAAATTACCTATATATTCAACATGCAATTTATTAGTATTCATGACCCTAACTCTAACAATGACAAGTATTGCTATATAATCCTTGGTCTCATTCTTTGAAGCTCTTTTTCTCTTCAGATTTTCTAAACCAAACAACGTTGATCGTCTATAAATCCAGTATTAATCACAGATTACGAGTCTCAATCAAATTCATTTACCTAATTATTATTCTCAAATTTCTTCAATAGTAATCAGACATCTAATATCACCGAACATTAATCTTATTATTATATTATAATCCATTCTGAAAAGGACAGAAAAATTTTTTTAGCCCATAGCCATAGCTTAACATCAATCTTCATTTGACTTCGCTTTAAATAGCTGGAGCTAGATGTGCACATTTGTCAGATTTCAATCCGATCCGGATCGGTTTTTATCCGATCCGGTTTTTTCTCATAGAAAAAAAAACCGGTTTATAAAATAACTGGTTATAAAAAAAATCGATTTTAATATTCCAGATTGCTCATAGGGAACCGATTCCCCCCAAGGGGGTACCGATTCCTCACTGAATGGTTTGGCTCCCGAGATTTCCAGAATGCTCGGAGGGAACCGATTCCCCCATAGGGGGTACCGATTCCGTCGAAATATTTGAATTTTACACTTAGGGAATCGATTCCCTATTAGAGGAAACTGATTCCCTATGAGAGGGTACCGATTCCCCCACACTCGAAGTATTTTTATTAAATGTTTTCACACTTAAACGGCTATATTATCCTCATTAATTATCACTAACGTTCAGAAGTTATTCAAGGTGTATTTAAGCAAGCTTAGAAGCCATTGATCAAAGACAAGAAACATCATCAAAGAGAAAGCATCAAACCTCAAGTTCGATAAATTCAAATACTTAATTGAAATACTTAATTAACTCAACATAATTGAAATACTTAAATACTTCCAAGTTTTGATAAATTCAAAACTTAAAACTTCCAAGTTCGATAAATTCAAATACTTAAAAACTTCAAGTTCGATAATTGAAACAAAGTTTACGATAATTGAAATAAAGTTATAAAATACGATAATTGAAATAAAGTTATAAAATAAACTACATTGCCATCTCTTCATCATCTTCGCCTTCTTTTGGAGGGGATATTCCAAGTTCGACTTCTTCAATGTGTAAGTTTGCTTCCAAATCGGCATCAATTGCATCTTCTAGGGTGGTGATATGTTGCTTACAAGCCGCTCCATCCAAATAATCCTTTAAACAAATGCATACTTCCACCGACTCGGGACTTAGTCTTGATCTCCGTTACGATATAACCCTGCCACTAACAGAAAAAGCGGATTCCGAAGCTACCGTAGAAGCTTGGACGGTTAGTAAATCACGGGCCATGGCGGCTAGAATCGGAAATTGTGCTTCATTTTCTTTCCACCAAGCCAAAATATCCAAACTTTCAAACTCTTCAAATGTCATTTTTGATATAAAATCGCATGACATGTAATTTCTCAACTCGCTACTTGGGGTGGTAGTACGTGATCGTTTGGATTGGGAATTTACAAGAGTGTTAAAAAGATTCAAATTATGTTACTTGGACGTCTACTAGATGATTCCGCATTCATTCATTTGATCGTGTATTACACTACTTGATCCGTATTTAGTTAAATAAATTGCAAACATGTCTCGAAAACATTTGTTAAAATAATTTATTTGGTTTTGGACAAAGTTGGGTTCATCATCGGTTAGATTAAAAGCAAACGCAATTTGTTCAATTAGTGTTTCAACCCCACCAACATTTAATGTTGGGTTTAAAGCGGCGGCACAAGTAAAAATGGGGGGAATCTCCTTAAATATTTTAGAAGTTTTTCCTTCATTGCAAAGCCAATTTCTTGAAAAACTTCGGTTTCAAATTCAAAGTCATTTAGTCGGGTAGCCAACAAAAATATTTGATTAATAACCAACGGGCTAGTAGGGTAATAAACACCGGATAAAAAAGTTGTTGCATTTTTAAAAACCTCAAGCAAATCGATTATTTTGGCTATAGTTTCCCAACTCGAATCCGGATAAATGTTTGGGACATGACCCCTCTCGAAAAGCCGATCGTGAAATGTTTGCAATGTTTCCCTTTGCCTTAAGGCAGTATGCATCATCATCCAAGTTGAGTTCCAACGAGTTGGACAATCCAAATTAAGACCCAAAGCTTTTTTATTAACGGACTAACAAAATCGTTTATAATCATTTAGTCTTTTGTTGTTGTTACAAAGAATCGATTTTATCATTGTTTTAAATTCTAATCTAATCGGCTCAATAACCTCCAAACCGGCTTGCACGGATAAATTAATTATGTGTGCAACGCAACGGGTATGAAAAAACGCACCGTCTAAAATCGGTGAAAGTAATATTTTCAATCTTGGAACCGCGTTTGTATTATTCGATGCATTATCAAAGGATATAGAAAAAACTTTATTTTCTAATTTATAAAGACAAATTACCCTTTTTAAAAGTGTAAATAAATTAGCACCGGTATGCGGCTCACCGAATAATTCAAACGCGATTGTTCTTTTCATCATTTGCCAATTATCTTGATCTAACCAATGTGACGTAACGGCTAAAAAAGAATTTCCGGTATTATGAGGGGAACTCCAAACGTCACATGTAAGCGACACACCATAACGGTGTTCTTGGAATCCTAAAATCATTTTTTCTCTCGCCGTACGCCACATTTTTATAGCATCTCTTCTAAGGGTAGTACGACTTACTTGAGTATAACGTGGTTGCATTAGTTATTGAATTGTTGTCGTGAAATCTTCATCATCAAAGTGGTCGAACGGCAATGCTTTTGTAATCACGAACTTTGTAAACGCTTCTCGTAATTTTTCGTTGTCGTAAACAAAAACACCACCTTGCGGTGTAAGATTCGATTGACTAGGATCCGATCTTGAGCGAAGTGCCTTGCATGATTTTGTCAAATGGTTCTTCAACGTTGTGTTTCCTTCCGATGCAAGAAACTTTAGACAAAGTTTACAACGCGCCCTCTCGAGCCATTTGACATCTCACATAAATCGTAGTGATCCCAAATGTCTTTGTTTCGAGTGTGTTCGATCACTCTCACGACTTCAAGGTTTCCCCCGACGGAAGATTCAGCCGTGTTACTCATGATGAACAAAAAATTACAAAAAATAAGATTTGAGAGATGTTTAAGTGTTGTGTAATAAGATTTGAGAAATTTGTAATCAACCAAATACATCCCCAACCTATTTATACATGTTTAGGGTGGTAAAATGGTAATTTTTTAAAGAAAAAAATGGTCAAAAACGGTCACAAAATCCCCCCCAACGGCTATATTAACGGCTAGTTTTTTAAACCCAGACCGGTTTTTTTTCCCGGATAAAAACCGGTTTTTTAACCGGTTTTTTTCAAACCAGTTTTTTATCCGGTAAAAAAACCGGTCTAGGTTTTTTTCTCCAAACCGGTTAAAATAACCGGTTTAAAAAAATCCGATCCGGTTAAAAAAAACCGGTTTTTCCCAAATCCGATTTCGGATATTTTTTTTCACAAAATCGGATATTCGGATTTTTTGTGCACCCCTAGCTGGAGCTGTTATCTAAAATTTAAGCACAAGTAGACAAGTGACATTTTTATAATCAAAGGGATAATTTAGTGAATTATTGACAAACTTGTCCTACCTATGTACTCAAATACCAAAACAAAATGGCCACTAATAGTTTCATTGGTCCAAAACAAAAGGAATATAAGCATTTTTCTTTTGATTTCTGTTTAGTGCTTGATCATCAATCTCACATATTTTCCCGAATATGGAAAGGATGATTGAAATAAAGATTCGATGGGGTTAATGGGTTTAGGACATGGAAAGTTAATGTGCGGAGGAGGGAGGGGGGACAATAATATCTTCAATTTGATGTTGAACATGAAAATTACTACACATTGCTTTCTTTTCTTGGTGGTCCAAATGATTCTTCTGTAATGGCTCAACTCCCATGTATAGGAGCATTAATTTCCATCTCATCTAAAAAAGAGAGCATAATTTGATGGAATAATGTGTACAGATGAGTCCATGAAAAGCTAATAACAAAAAATTTAAATTAATTTGTCAATATAAATAACAAAGTGGAAGTCTAATCCAGCAAAATTGCCAGTCCAATGTTGGGGGTATTCCACTTTAGAGCTAATTTTCCACCACTAATGTCTGCAACTACAAATCTTTACAAGCTTGATAAACAAGACAGAGAATGTCAATCTCCTTGGACAGCTAATGTCCTAAAAGCATCTGGTCTGGTTTTCGAGTTTACCTTGTACTAGAGGAGACTACTACTGCCACAACAACGTCCGTTTTCGCAACTGCCTATTTTAACGGCTTGCTGCTAACCTCGGCAATGGCGGTTCTTTGGGCTAATTATGAGTTACCGCTGTTTTCTTCTGCATCGCCGATCTGTTCAATGTATGTTCTTGAGGAATGATTGTTGTTTCCCAAGTTATGAGCTCCTTCCGATGTCATTGCTGGTAAAATCCACACCTCCAAAGGATGCGGATGCTGCGGTTACATCAAGTCCGCCACCGATGGAGGTGATTAGAGCTGAGAAGCCACTGTTGGGGGTGCCACCAGCGGCCACCCCTAGTCCGAGGAAATCAAGAGTGGCTTGTTTAGGACCGAATACAGGAGTTCCCATCATTAATTCCTTTAATCCTGAACCTTCATCACAAGGAAGTCCAAGTCCAAGACCTGCTGCAATCGAGGAATTCTCGGACTCAACTTGTCTCTGACCCCACTGCAAATTATTGTGTTGTGAGGAAGATGAAACGATACCGAGACCACGAAGCAATGATGCATTGCTGGCTGCTGCTCCAATCTGAGCAGCTTTCTGTAGTAGTGCTGTGGCAGACATAGTAGGCTGCGGTGGTGGCGCATACTGCCTGCGTTCTTGCCCTGCAGTCCCGAATATTGACGAGCCATGGTTGGTCGAGAGGCACAGAGAAATCGGTTCAGCTGATGTACATAGCTCAAGCTCAGATGGACGATCAGGTCGACTCATAGATCGAATTAAGTCAGTGAAAGCCGGAGGTTGCGGAGGTTGTAAGCTAGCAGATGTAGTTGAGGGTGCAAATAAGCTAGCAAACACACTGCTGCTGCAGCTACCATTGCTGACTGAGTCTGCGCTACTGCTACAATTTACATTCACACTAGCTGGTGCCTGTACCGGTGCTGGAGCCGGTGCTAGAGCTCTTTGTACAACAGGAGTGGGATTTTCAGGCGACTCTGTAACAAAAAACCGACATTAATGGCAGACGAAAAAACCCAATAGGGGACCAGACTTAAAATATCTAAAACAAAGTAGCATGTAAAGTTAATAGATTGATCTTTATGAAAGAACTTTAGAGCGAAATGCAGAATCAATAATAATTTCCACTCTCTAAATCCATTAGCTTTTGAATCAGTTTGGAACTATATATAAAGAAAAAACAACAAATCACAGTCTCACAAGATAAGTTACTAAAAGCCTCAAGAAAACAACAAAGATCAGTAACAGATAAAAAAACTACTATGCTTCAAGATTAATACAAAGACATAATAACAACAAAAACAATTGGTCCATGTTTGATTTTATACATAGACAACAACCGACAAAATTAAAACTAACGAAATCGAAAATTTCCATATTGGGTAGCATATAAAAACATACCAGAACTTTGAATCGGCAAAACTGAAGAAGATATCACACTAGTTGACTGAGACAGAGCTGGTGCAGCTGCAGCCACGGGCACCAGAACCGGTGCCATTGCCGGTTCAGGTTTAGGAACTTGTGGTTTAGGGTCGGAGTCTGATTTGGGATTCGGAGGCTCAGGCAAGGGTTGAGCTTTAGCACTCTCAGCTAAAGCATCACAGAAAGCTCTGTGGGTAGTAAAACTATCCCTCCTGCAAACATAAAATGAAAAATCAACAACCAAACCCCACAAAAGTTCGATCTTTTTGCAGCAGAAATGGGATCTTTAGATTGTTTTCGAGTACCTGGAAAACACAGTTCCACAATCACATCTGTACTCGCGAGTGCCACAAATCTTAGAGTGAGCTTTCCAATCGGATTGAACGGCGTATTTTTTGGAACATTTATCGCACTTCCACTTCTTTTCTCCATGTTTTCTGCAGAAATGTTTCTTAATTCCAGTGAGATCGCCCAAAGCTCTGGACGGATCGTGATGAATGCAAGTCGGCTCGGGACAAACATAAACTTTCTTCTTCACTTCATTACTCGATCTTTGCCTAAGCTTCCATGGTAAATTATGGCCTCGTCTATGAAGCTGCAGATTTTGGTCCCTTTGAAACCCTTTATTGCAAATTTCACAAACGAATCGGTTTGTAGCCATTAAAGTTTTCGGAGTTAAAGCAATCACCTCCGCATCTGGATCTGTAGCAACCCAAAAGAGAGAGAGAAAATTGCAGTCACTAACAGAAGAAAAGAAGTTTGTGCATTTATTGATAGAGAGAGAGTAATTTTACAGGTACCTGGCATGCCAGGGAGGTTACGTTTCTTCTTGACGGTGGTTTTGGGAGGTGGGTTTTGGTTTCCGGAGGAAGTGACGCTGGCTTCACCGCCAGAAGCGGTGGTGGAGGAATTATCTAACTCAACCGGCATGACTTTAAAGAGAAAGAACTATTTTTGCATACACAAAGTTCGATTTTTCTTATTTGAGGTCTCTCTCTCTCTCTCTCTCTATTTTCTCATCTACCAGTCAAGCTGCTTTTATTGAACTTTTAGGCCACCAACCAGCTTTTCTGCTCAGTTCCTCACTAAAATTCACATTACCCAAAGAAGCTTAATGATTAAACCCAAACTTTGAAACCCCTAAAACCTTTGAAATTCAATCCAAAAGCCCAGAAAACAAATCTAATAAAACCCAAAAAGCTGAAAGAAGGTCAAAGCTGAATAAAAAAACATAAAATAACAATATCAAACAAATACCAAATCAAAACAGAGAAAGATCCCAGATATAGATAAGTTTAAAGAAAACAGAGGAACTTCATGAGAGTTTTTTTTTAGAGAAAAGGAAGAAAGATAATGGAGAAAGAGAGATCTTGCTAAAGTTCCTTTGGTCTGAGTTTGTCCCTACCCTAGCTGGATTACTTTTCATGGAAGAAAAATAAAATAATTATTTTAAATATTAGTGTCAATTTAATTAGAATTAGATTATGTGTTTAAGAACTAATAAGATAAAGAGATTAGAACTTTTAATTTAATTTTGGGTAAACCACGTATTTAGTCACCAACCTATCTTCATGATTCTGTTTTGGTCACCTAACTAATTTGTCCTTAGACGTGATAGCTTTTTAATTTTTTTCAACGATGACATTAAATCATTTTATGATAATGCTTCAACATCATTATTAATCTTTTAATGCCGGATGATTAAAACAAATATAAAACGTACTAGTAGATATAATTTAAAAATAATAATTTAATGACAAAAATAAAACTATGAGAATAAGTAAGTGGTTAAATACTGAATTTACCCTTAAAGTTTTACAGTTTATTTGTGGGGGTGCTGTTTTGTCGTTCAATGGAGTGTTCTGAATTGTGCATTGTTTTCGGACACAAGAGGTGAGGTGCAGAGGTGGTTTGCTTTAAATTAGTGTAAAGTCAAACAACTTTTGTCATTGATTGGAACTTTTTGTTATTTTAGCCAATTCCTTTTGGACACGTGTCTTGGGACTTAAGATTAGGATGATTTTTCCGATATATCACCGGTGACTGGTAATATTATCGATCTAACATCGATCAGATTATATTTCCCGATCTAACACCCTTAGCAGTAAAGCACCCCTGCACCGCGCTATACGATGATTTGGCTCCACGTAGGGTATAGCGCGCCCCCTGCACCGCGCTATACGGTGAGCTGACGCCACGTGGGTATAGCGCGCCCCCTGCACCGCGCTATACGGTGAGCTGGCGCCACGTGGGTATAGCGCGGCCCCTGCAGCGCGCTATACGCCACGTAGGGGTATAGCGAGATCAGGTACCGCGCTATACCTTTACTCCTAATAATTTTATATAGCGCGGGCATGTATCGCGACATACCTTTACTCTGACATAATTTTATATAGCGCGGGGCAGGTACCGCGTTTTGTATAACTTTCCTCGCTATAAATACCATTTTCCGCCGGTTAATTTCTCACATCTCTCCTCTTAACTTATAAATTAATACAACAATTCCGTCAACGAGTCAATAATTCTGGTAATCTTCTCATATTTTATTTAGAAATTCGTGCGATTTTTCGTTATAAGGTAATTTTGTTATAATTTTATTTATTTATTATTTATTAGGATTATTTGAAAAAAATATTATACTAATTTTTTTCAATTAATTTTTGTGTTTGTAAAATTGGAAAGCGGGAGCATACGTCGAAATAGTTTTGCGGTGCAGGTAATAATATTAAATTATATTATTTAATTTTTTACGTTGATGTGTAAAAATTTTATTGTGTTATATGTTCGTTCATATATAATTTATTAAATCAGGTTTGTTTCATTTTTTTTCAAATATAATAGTGCCGCACTTTTAAACTCAAATAATGGCGCGACTTTCAGCTATTGTTTATTATGATGGTGAAATTCGAGAAGATGAAATCGGCGTTGTTTTCGTATCAAATGAGCGTGTTAAAATATCATTCAAGAGAAACATAACTCTTGAGGAGCTTATAACGAAGATTTCGAGGAAGATTCATGTTGGAAGTAGTAGAAGAGTGTCGTCGTTGCAGTATAGATTTTCAACATCATTGTTGCCATTAACTTATACAGCGTTCGAACTTTCGAACAATGATGATGTTGAAATGATGGTTGAAGCTCAAAGTAATTATTCAGACGCCGCTATTGAGATGTATGCACATTTTGTCAAGTGGTGTTGTTCGGGGTCAATCATTAAGCTCCCACTATGGGCTGACTGAACAAATTGATCAAGTTGACAACCCAACGACAGTAATGTGTAATGATTTTAATGCCATAATGGGGAGACATTCATCCGTAACTCCTTACGATATGTACCAAGGTAGGTCGACGAACAATCTGTATGGCAACATCGCGTCCAGTTCAAGGTGAAGGCATTCATCTGCAAATCCCTTTGACCTTAATATGGAGATGCCATCGACGCAACCATCTGTACAGTTTCCATTTGACGCGATGACTTCAAGCTCTAGGGGGAGGCATTCTACTGCGAGTTTTTTCGATCTCAATGTCGATATGCCTTCTAGTTCAAGGGGAAGGCGTGCAAGTAGTAGGTTTTTTGACCTAAATGGGAAGAGCATGGAGGAACCATCATCTCCACCAGAAGAACAGCTTCGTGAGCCTGGTGCGGATGGTGCTGAGATTGGACTGTTCATTGACCCAGAATCACCGCAATTCAACTCCGATGATGATGAAGTTCCAGGAAATGTGGCACAAACTGACCCTCCTGCACACATGTATGAAGTTGATTATGGTTCAACTGTACAGGAGGCGGTGTCTGTGCTGCGACCATGGGTAATGAGGCTGAACATGCCAAATATCCAGCATATGAACCCCAAGTCGGGTCTGCAAACATAGACTCATAATAGCCTCCATGAGGGGTCATCTGTGACGGTGGCGGTGGCGGTGGCGGGATCATAAAACCGGGTGAAGGCGGCGGCGGCGACATCTGGTAATGGAAAGGCGATGGCGGCATCATATATGGCTACGGTGTCTGCTGGGAAGGTCCTGCTGGTGCAGTTGAGGATGAATCGGAAGCACCTGCTCTCCATCCACGAGTCGGGGGACGATGGTGTTGTGTAGGTGAACGTCTCTGTCGATGTCGTGGAAAGGTCTACTGTAACATCCTCAATATTATGCTAGTGACCTAAAGGTGAATTTTGAAAGCATTGTGTTCAATTTCGAAATAAGTTAAAAGTTCAGAATTTTAATTGGAGAATTTGAGGTTGGATTTAATAGTAAAGTTTGAAAGTAATAAGGGTATTATGGTCTTTTCTAAGAGAAGATTTTTATTTCTCTTTTAGGGGATATAAAAATGTGGGAAATGAGGGAAATGAGTTTCCAGAGTTTTCTTCTCCTCCTTTCTTCTTCACGCGTGGAAGCCAAGAGCAAAGGTGATAATTTTTATTAGTTGATTATTATTTGAATTCTAAGTTGGTTTTGATTCTTTGGAAAGTAAGAAAGCTTAAAGAAGTCTAAAGATAAGTGAAAACTCAAAGATGAAGAGGTTAGAAGAGATTAAAGAAAATGGGTTTTTAAGTGAAATTTTGAATAAGAAGGTTTAAATGAATTTGGAGGATGAATTTGACTTGTCATCTATAAGAATAAGAAGTTAGAAGTGTTAGAATTAAGTTTGGATAACATGGAAAATTGGGTATGATTATTGATTTCCATATGAAAGATGGAATTTAGAGGTTAAAGATGAGATAAATGAATATTAATGAGTTTAAGTATGTATATGTAAGTTATGAATATGAAAGGGGTTGAAATATGAAGGATTTAATCCAAAAAGAATGAATTTTCGGGTTCAAAAAGAGGATTCTGGGCAGAGTGCATCGATGCATATTCATAGTGCACCGATGCATCAAGGTTAAAACCCATAAATTGTTTAAAGGTGTATCGATGCACAAGTAGTGCATCGATGCACTCTTTTAATCTAAAAACATCGAATGCAATTGGTGCATCGATGCATAAGGCATGCATCGATGCATCCCAGTAATAAACAAACATCGAATGTATTTTATGCACCGATGCACAGGTAGTGCATCGATGCACCGATAGGGAATGCATCGATACACTGTGCAGTGCATCGATGTATACCTTCATTAAAAGATGAAATGGGCTTTTCTTTTAGCCTAAGAAGTGACAATTTAGAAGATATCAATTAGTATACTGATATGTATCAATGTATTATTATGATGTAGATATAGAATAAAGCTTGTTCCAGAACAATCTAAGGATTAATAGTGATTCAAAGCAAACAAGGCTCAGGTAAGTGCACATTATTTAGTATATGAGGTTCAATGGAAAATAAGACTTGCGATAAGTCTATTTACAATAGTGAAAAACATGAATTTATAGAAGTATGTATTGGTTATGATTTATATGTGTGCATGAGTATATGTGTTATTGATATGAATATGGTGAGTAAAAGGGATTAATGGTGATGATAAGAATAATAATAAGGATAATGAAATGATATGTATATGTGAATATAGGTATTGATATGTTTTTGTATGTATTGTAAGATGATATGTTTATGTGACAACATGATAAGATGACAATGATTTACATGTCATATGAACACATGAGAAATGTTATGAGCCATATGAAAGAGAAAGTATATGTGATACATGAGGGTGAATCCTATGTTTATATGAATATGAACTCATATGAGAATTGACATGAACTACGTGATTACATGTATATGTGAATGAAACCATGAGCTTATATGAATATATGATATGGTTACATGAATATGTAAAAGAATATAAAAGATAATGCCCATGTTATGTGTCATGAGAGCTAGGGGTATAGTTGGCATGCCAAGAGTCGAGGGTCTATGTGGTCCTTCGGGACATATATGTATTCTTTGGAACATGTGTGAAGTCTGGTGAGACACATACTTGATCCTTGGCATATGTATATGATTCTTAATGAATGATATGTGGTCCTTCGGGACATATATGTATTCTTTGGAACATGTGTGAAGTCTGGTGAGACACATACTTGATCCCTAGTATATGTATATGATTCTTAAGGAATGATATGTGGTCCTTATGGACATTATTATGGCACTACGGTGCAATTCTACGCGGCACTCCGGTGCAATATACGTGGCACTTCGGTGCAATTATATGAGCTGTGGTGACAGTATTAGTGCACAACCTCTATGTACTCGCATATCTTAGTTCTCACATGTGTATCATGGGCTATTAAATAGATAATATTAATAAAGTGATATGATAATGTTTGTTTCCTTGTGTATTTCATGTGTGATATTGATTGTACAAATGGTAACTTATAAGACCATGATGAAAGGAATCAATGATAGTGATAAAATAAGAAAAATAAAGATGATAATATAGTTGCTTGGGTGTACGTGTTTTATGATAGTATATATATATATGGTTTACATGACATGATATGTATGTGCAATTGGTTATGGTATATGTTATATGATATGGCATAAGAGATCATAGGAACATGAGTAAGAGATATGAATGATAATGACATATATGTATGCATATATTCGTTACATAAAGTATGAGTGATATGAAAGATAGTAGTAATTGTTTAGGTATGATTATTAGTTATCGTTTACCTTATATGTTTATATGCCTCACTAAGTCTTTGACTTAGCGTGTAAGTGATTTACACATAGGTTTCGAGAAGAGTAAAGAGCAATGTGGAGCAAGACATGTCAGTTCTCCTTACTAAAGGTCAGATCAGAAAAGAGGTGAATAATATGTATTTAGTATATAAAGTTCTGTTGGCATGTTTCAAAGAATATATTGTTTAAGCTATGAACAGTTTTATAAATGTTTCAAATAGTTATATGTAAATAAATAAGTGAAATATACACGCTCTGATTGGTTTTGTAATAATAAAAATGTCTTTTATGTAAATTAGTCATTTATATGTTATAAAAGTTTTAATTTACTCACTATTTTATACAAGTACGTGCTTTAAAAGGTTAATGTGACACCTCGGATTCGTATCTGGGTCGGATACGGGTTGGGGTGTTACATATGCCCTCGTGCATCCTCGGAAAGTAGAAACGGTTTCTCGTTACTGTTGAACCACTCATAATAATCCTTAGCATACATCAAGAAGTCAGTAAAAATGGGCTATCTTCCTCATGTAGTGAACTAGGTTGCGCGATTTGTCCGGCATCAGCAACCCTCCTATCAACTGCAGTATGCATGCCCGTGCATACATCTTAACCTCTTCCTCAGAGGCGTCTGCGCTCAACTCCCGAAAATTGGCATCTAACCAATTTAACGGTATCCTACCTCCGACAAAATTTTTCGGGATACGTCATAGACTATCCCGAAACAAACCAGTCCAAGAACCGGAAGCTATCCCCGATATCACATCTCCATCCACCGGAAGCCCCAGGTGCATAGAAACATCCTCAAGCGTGATTGTGCACTCTCCGCACGGAAGATGGAATGTGTGGGTCTCCGGCCTCCACCGCTCTACTAAGGCAGAAATCAGGTCTGGCTCTATCTTACAATGACCCTGATATCTACCCTATGTAACCGAATCCAGCCTCTACTAAATACGCCAAGACACGACTGGGTATCACTAACTTAAGATTCCTAATAAAAAGATCTAATACACAGTCCTTCTCCTAAAAATAAATGATTACAAAAATTAATTCTTAATCTAATAATCATGCATTAAATGAATCAACTAATTATTAATAATAATTTAAATTAAATTAAAACATTAAAATGTTACCGTATCAGCAAAGTGTCGAGATATTTAATTATTAATATAATAATCATGCATTAAATAAATAACTAAATATTACTAATAATTTAAATTAAATTAAAACGTTAAAATGTTACCGTATCAGCAAAGTGTAGAGATATATGATTTCCATCCGAGCGAAGTAGACTGCCTTCCATTATATATCTGCAAAAGAATTATATTAGTAAAATATTAAATAAAGTAAAAATATAATAGTAAAAATATTATAAAATATACATTAAAAAGAGAGTATTTGAGAGAAATTTAGAGAATTTGAGAGAATTTGGTGTGATAAAATTGATTGAAAATGGAGGTATTTATAGGGAGGAGGGGTCGGTAGTTAGGGGTATAGCGCGCCCCCTGCACCGCGCTATACCCCACGTGTCAGATATACAGGTATAGCGCGCTGCAAGGACCGCGCTATACCCACGTGGCGCCAGCTCACCGTATAGCGCGGTGCAGGGCGCGCGCTATACCCACGTGGCGCCAAATCATCATATAGCGCGGTACAGAGGGCGCGCTTTATTGCTAAGGGTGTTAGATCGGGAAATATAATCTGACTGGTGTTAGATCGGTAATATTACCAGTCACCGGTGATATATCGAGAAAAATCGCCTAGGATTATGGGTTGTTTAGTTCATGGAAAATATTATTACTAAAATGAATGATTTTTTTAGGAATTATATTCTCTTTTTTGGTTTAAGGCAAAGATCATTACAAGAAAATGATTTTTTTTTCAGAATTATATTATAATGTTTAATTCACGAAAAATATCATTATCATATAATAATCTAATATCAATAGTAATATTTTTTAGTTAAAATGATAGGACAGTCGTTACCTTAAAATTATTAGGTAATGAACAATTATCACCATCTTGGATATACTTCTGAAATAATAAAATTTTTAATATGGATATTTCTCAATTTTTATTCTTCGTGTTTTACTCAAAATTATAAACTTAATAATAATACACACATAGTTTAATTTCATAAAATATTAATAAATTTGAGTAATTAAATTTATTTTATATTTTAATATTTAGTATATTAATTATTTTATAATTTTATGAGGTGAAAATATTATTATTTTAAAAATATAACTATTTGAAATAATATTTAATTCTGAATTATTAAAAAATAGATCTTATACATTATAAATTAATATATTTGTTCACTCGATATCACAATATTATTTTTAATATTATATTATATTTTATATAAATAAATATGATACTTATGAAAATTATTTAAAATTAAAAGTTTGATATACTAATTATATTAATTATATGTTAAATGTATTTTTTCTTTAAACTTAGATAATGTAATAATTAAAATATTTTTATAAATTTTCATTCAAATATTTATAATTTAATATTAAAATTTACTAGTTAAAAATTATATATATCACAAGAATAATTTGGTAAAATATACATCAAAATAATCTTATATTCCTCTAACCAAACACTATAATCTTACATTCCTGTTAAGTAAACCAAACAGAGTAATACAACATTCTATTGGAGTATATGAGTTTACAATAACAATAATAATCATGTGGTTTTTTTGTAAATTAATATTAAATTTCTTTCACATATTGCAAACCAAAAATCCATTTAAATTAAGAAATGAGTAGAATTCTAAAGTTTGACATATTGTAGGTGTGAACACTTGATTAAATGAACTTAAATGTCTTCGTAATGTACATGAAATTATTAGATATAATTCACATGTCATAAAATTTAAGATGTTAACTATATGTATTTGATAATTTGAATTCATATTGAACAAGTGGCCCGATAATTTGTCTAGTTTCATTTATTTATTGTTTATTTCATTATGTGTTGCTCTTTAAGCGCAAATTAAGTTAAGTTAATATGTAATATTTATATTTTAGTTTGTGAAACCCTAGCCGCTCACCCTTATCCACTCTTTCCTTTGTCCGACTTTAATGCTGGTTGTTAACCACATGTTCTCTTTTTTTATATATAAGAATAATTATAGTTTATGTCACATTTATCTCCACTTTTGTGTTCTTCCCTGATATGGACATTTGGATGCGTGATTTTACGTTTGTGGATAGTTTCTTATGATGCTCGACTTTAATGCAGTTCTCGATGGTATTTCAATAATTTAATTCCCTTTTGTGGTTTGTTTGTCGATGCAATCATATTTATTTGTATATATTTTTGTTCAAGTCTTATAGTTGGGGTTTTAATCTTTTCCATATATGATCCTTATATGATCTCAATTGACTAGTTTTAATGTTATAATAAAAGTTCAAATTATATATTTAGTTTACAATAATAATTGAAAACTCTTATTATAATTTCGAATATTTTCACGTTTTTAATAATACTAGTTGCTTCTACTAAAAAAAGTTAAATTAATATGTAGTTTCACACGCACGAGGAGTTAGTAATGCCATAAGCTTAAAGAGGCGTGAGATATTGATATGAATTTGACCAACCTTTAAAAAATTATAACAAACCCTATTTACTTCAAGTAATTTGGCATGGAGTACTAGTAAGGGATTTCGCGTACACTTTGTTGTATTTAAAATTTGTATTCTGAAAACTATATAATCGGTATATTTGAACCATTTGGTTTGATTTGGACATTGGTATGTAAGATTCATGAATGTTTGAATGCTCAAGTGATGTTTCAAGTATGCTGGCTTGGTTATCATGATATGATGCATGATCATGTGTTTTCCTTTGCATAGACAAGTTTCAAATGATGGTTTAGGTGATTGAATGTTGTTGAATCGTTAAAAGACCAAATATGCATAATTTAACCGAGAGGAGATTTTAGAACGTACTTTTACATTTAAATCTATTTGGCGTGTTTAAACTATGATCTTTTAATGTTGATTGTGTTAAAAAATTGTTTATCTTTTTGACATGCCGTTGAGCGATTAAATGCATTTAGAGGGATAAATATGATGAAAATATGTTAATATTATGCATAATTGGCCTTAAATTAAAATATATATATATATTTTTTATTTATGCTCAAAATTTATAGTCATCGAAAATACATATACCTTAACAGATATAATTATATATAAACTCGAATCTTTTAGAGAAAATGAAACTTAATTTAATCATTAAAATCAATCAATAAATTCATTTTTATAGAGTTTTCAAATAATGTAAATTGCAATTATATTTATATTTAATAAAATATAAATATATAAATAGAAAAGGGAGGGGGATCAAAACTTTCAAGTTGGGCCTCAAATTTCAACCCACCTATAGCAAGGCCGACGCTAGAGAATTGAGAACCCGTTACCAAAAAGTAGGCCAATTTAGTCCACCCACGAACGCCGCCCACCGCTTGCTATCCCGTACGTAGGTCACAGATCTCCAGAAAACTCGAGCAGAGCTTAATCAGGGATTTTGGCGAAAGAACCAGAAGGAAAGGAAAGGAAGGGGGAGGAAGCAAATGACAACGCGAATCGCTCCGGGAGTTGGAGCAAACTTGCTTGGTCAACACTCCGCTGAGAGGAACCAAGACGCCACTGCGTATGTCGGCAATCTTGATCCTCAGGTTCTCGCTATTTTCCTTTCCCCCCCCCTTTTCCCCTTAATTTTTGTTTATTTCTAAATTTTGAAATCTTTTACTTACTTTCCAGTTATCTGAAGAGTTATTATGGGAATTATTTGTTCAAGCCGGTCATGTTGGTACGCCTAATAATATCAAGTTTTTTTGTTACTGTTAAAGCTTCTGGGGTTTAATTTTGTTTCGAACATGGGTTCTTATGTTAATTGAGTTAATTACAAATGCCTGGGTTTCCATCTATCATTTCAGTTAATGTTTATGTGCCGAAAGATAGAGTGACCAACTTGCATCAAGGATATGGATTCGTCGAATTCCGAAGTGAAGAAGATGCTGATTATGTATGTCTTTTCCCTTCAGGTATTTTAGCCCTTGGTTTCAGTTTTTTTCCTTTTTAAATAATTAGATTTATTTGTTTGGTTTTCTAGGCTATTAAGGGGCTCAACATGATTAAGCTTTATGGAAAACCGATTCGTGTAAATAAGGTAAGAAATTCCGAAATTTGAATACTATTGCATTTTTTCTTGAATCAAAGTAACCATTATTTGTGTTGATTATTATTATTTTTTAATTTGATTTCAGGCATCTCAGGATAAAAAGAGTTTAGATGTTGGTGCAAATCTTTTTATAGGGAACCTTGATCCAGTAAGTATTAGTATGCTATTAGAACTATAGAGTTGCTATGAAGTCATAGATTTCCTGTTTTAACTTTGTGATTATCGGACTATACTTGCAGGATGTGGAAGAGAAACTTTTGTATGATACCTTTAGTGCATTTGGAGTCATTGTTACAAAGCCCAAGGTACTGACTCTACAGATGCTCTTTTCTTTTTCATTTTATTTGATGCCATGCAGTTGCTTAATGAGCTCAATTTCTTTGGTTATAACTATTGGTATTCAATCTGTTGATTGATTAATCTGTATCGAATACTCTAGAGGTTCATTATGGAGCCAAAAATTATTAAATCAATTTTCTTTGTTTGTAACGTCAGAATTTGAATCCTTGACATTGTTTAAGGGAGCTAACATCTTATTCTGTTAGATCAACTGATAATTGGTTAATAACAGGTCATTTTTTATGTGAAAATGCATCTCTACATCTCTTCATTTTGCTTGTTTATTAATGCTCTGCTGCTGCTTGACTTATACTAACTAAAGTGTTTGCTATCATAACTTTATCTGTGATTGATGATGAGATGAAGTTGAAACCTGTGAGAATAATTGAGGGTTTTGCGCTTTTCTTATGAGCGGCCAGGTTTTCCAAGTTAATGTTGGCTTTTATATATTTGCATCGTCATGAAATGGCATAATATATAAGATGGATTTGGATGCTTATATGGCTTATTCACTAATTTTTGTTTCTGGAGAACTGAATGATATTAGAACTGAGAGTAAGTCCTAGTCTTTTTCTGCTTATCTCTTGAAATCCCTTGATAGTGGGTTTGGAAATTTGATAAGAAGGTTAAGTAATTTTAAGATAGTTCTTTTTTCAACATTTTGTTTATTATGCACTATAATTGTGGGTTCTTAATGATAGCTTTCTAACATCAGATAATGAGAGATCCTGATACTGGAAATTCACGCGGTTTTGGATTCATCAGCTATGATTCTTTTGAGGCATCCGATGCTGCTATTGAGGTATGTTCGCATTGCCACCCGCATGTTATCTGCTCATTAAAGGGCATTTTTTGTTGTTATAACTGCTATAATGGAATGTGAATATGTGATGTGACAGCTATCTTATACATCATTGGCTTGTTTATTCTATCGTGCAAAATATGTCTACTTTCTATTTGATTTTACAGGCAACGAATGTCCAGTATCTCTGTAACCGCCAAATAACAGTTTCGTATGCATATAAGAAAGACACGAAAGGGGAGCGTCATGGCACCCCAGCAGGTTCATTTCTACGTTTTTCTCCGCAGCCAACTATTCCATCATGTCCCCTTTTTTGGGCTATTATTTTTTATGCCGGCTGTCTTTGCTGTAGCTATGGGTAAGTAGCTCTAAAACTTTTCTTTGTAATACAGAGAGAGTTGTCGCAACCATCTTTCGGTTGGGCCCCGGAATTGGGCTTCGACTTGAAAAATGTGGATTGTAGTCACCACCGATCATTTATTTAAAACAAATAGGTTGATCGGATACCTTATTTCTTACCTGATCTGCGCCTTTCTAAAGATGTGTTGGGTTCGGGAGTCGGTTACGGTCAAGGAAAGATTAACACCCTTGAACCGTCCTTTCGATACTACGTAATTTCCAGTTGCCTTTGATTAAGAAAATTGCAAGTTAAATTAAAAGGTAAAATTTGATCCGAATTACTTACCCTTAATGAGTTTACGGAAATACCCTTAAAAAATAAGATTTAAAAGAAAATAATAATAATAATAAAAGAAAGTGACAAAACTAAAGAGTAAACCAAGGAAATAAATGAAACCAATAATAATAAACATAAAATAATTGGATGAAAAAAAATGAAATTGAATAAAATAAAATAAATAAAGACAAAATATATATACAAAAAGAATAAAAAATGTAAAGTATTTTTTTAAACAAAATAATAATAATCAGAGCAAAAAAACTAAAAATATAATGAAAATAAATAAATAGTATAAATAAAATAATAAAAGTATATATATAAAAATATAAAAATGTATATAATATAATAAAATACTAAATAGTAATAATAATAATAATAAATGAAAAATAAATACATATAATATTAACTAAAAATAGTAATTATAAAAATATAAAATAAATAAAGTAAGAATATATATATATACGTTAGGAAAATAGTAAAAATATAGTAAATAAGTAAACATAGATAAAAAATAATATATAATATATATATATATATATAATAGGAAATATAATATAACACAAAGAAAAATGAAATTTTTTTTATAATAAATAAAAAAATATAATTAATATATACATATATACATATAAATAATAAGGGTTAAATTAAAGTAAAAAATGAATTAGAGGTCAAAATTAAAAGGCAATCGAAGAAAAAAAAGACAAAACAAGCGGATCCACATGACCCGTTTATTAAAATCCGAATAGTTTTTCAAAAACACAAGCCTCGGGGACTAGATCTACAAAAATAGATCTCGAAAACGCCCCCGTTCATCGGCCAAAAACTTCTCTCAGTTTTCTTCGAAATCAAACACAACAAGGGTAAGAAAAAATAACATGCGAATGTATGAAATTTACCTTTCAAAATATAAATGCTTCGAAAAATGGCTACGAGTTGCTTGTAATTTTTTGCTTGGTATTTCGTATATCCTCCTCCTAATGTGTTACAATAGTGAGTTACAATGACTATTTATAATGTTTGTGGATCCTATCTTTAGGAGTTTAAATAATAGTAGAACTCTATCATATTTTTAGAAGTTTGAATCCTAGCAAAATTCTATCATATTTTTAGGAGTTTGAATCCTAGTAGGATGAAAAAGTGTGTTGATAGTTGCCCTTCTTTGCCCATAGTCGTATAACGGGGATAGAGCAAAGATTAAAAGACGCATTTTTCGTTCAGTGGAGTTGAAAATTGACTTTGATGTTTCAATAACTCCCTGTTGAATTGAGTTACGGATGACTCCTCCATCGTGAAGTCGAGTTCATCTTGAAATGATATGAAATTGAAGCCGTAGTTCGGAATTTGAATCAGCATGTGGTTTCTTGTTGCCCTTCGGTCTTCTTCTCGGTTTAAAGACCTTGGATCGAAATCGAACTAAAAAATCTTCATTGACAGATAGCTTTTTCTTGACTGAAGCTATGCTGCTTGAAAATGGTTGCTTGTCACTCAGGCGCGGCTAACCCAGGTCCTCTTCTCGACTTGAAAACCTCGACTGTAACCGGAAAGTAGTGCGATTGATGTGTCATCGAGCTGAATGGAATCGAACTCGACAATTTTGATGGCAGATAACCCTTCTAGCCTTGAGTTATGCTGTAAATGATGTGCCTTGGAGCTGAGCGTAGTCGAACTCGAAGGTCTTTGTTGACAGATAATCCTTCTTTGAGTTGGATATCCCTCGTCGTGAAGTTGAAATCCAATCTGAAGATGGATGATGCTTGTGTGCATGATTCCCTTTGTCGTGAAGTTGAAATCGCTGGTGGCCCCTTCGTCGTGAAGTTGAGCCTGGAATTGGATATCCTTCATCGTGAAGTTGAAATCCAAGTAAGTAGCATTGTTCCGAGTCCAATATCCTCCGTCGTGAAGTTGAAATTGGCTTTGGAATCGGGAAATTATTTGTTGACAACCAGCCGTCCCTTCATTGTGAAGTTGAACTTGTGTTGTCTCTAGTCCAATATCCTTTGTTGTGAAGTTGAAATTGGCTCCGAAATTGAGAAATTGTTTGTTGACAACCAGCGGTCCCTTCGTCGTGAAGTTGAACTTGCGTTGTCTCGAGTCCAATATCCTTCGCTGTGAAGTTGAAATTGTCTCTGAAATTAGGAAGTTTGTTGACAACCAGCGGTCCCTTCGTCGTGAAGTTGAACTTGCGTTGTCTGGAGTCCAATATCCTTTGTTGTGAAGTTGAAATTGGCTCTGAAATTGAGAATTTTGTTTGTTGACAACCAGCGGTCCCTTTGTTGTGAAGTTGAACTTGCGATGTCTGGAGTCCAATATCCTTCGTTGTGAAGTTAAAATTGGCTCTGACATTGAGAAATTGTTTGTTGACAACCAGCGGTCCCTTCGTCGTGAAGTTGAACTTGCGTTGTCTGGAGTCCAATATCTTTCGATGTGAAGTTGAAATTGAGAAATTGTTTGTTGACAACCAGCGGTCCCTTCGTCGTGAAGTTGAACTTGCGTTGTCTCGAGTCCAATATCTTTCGCTATGAAGTTGAAATTGGCTCTGAAATTGGGAAGTTGTTTGTTGACAACCAGCGGTCCCTTCGTCGTGAAGTTGAACTTGCGTTGTCTGGAGTTCAATATCCTTCGTTGTGAAGTTGAAATTGGCTCTGAAATTGGGAAGTTGTTTGTTGACAACCAGCGGTCCCTTCGTCGTGAAGTTGAACTTGCGTTGTCTGGAGTCCAATATCTTTCGTTGTGAAGTTGAAATTGGATCTGAAATTGGGAAGTTGTTTGTTGACAACCAGCAGTCCCTTCGTCGTGAAGTTGAACTTGCGTTGTCTGAAGTCCAATATCCTTCGTTGTGAAGTTGAAATTGGCTTCGAAATTGGGAAATTGTTTGTTGACAACCAGCGGTCCATTCGTCGTGAAGTTGAACTTGCGTTGTCTGGAGTCCAATATCTTTTGATGTGAAATTGAAATTGACTCTGAAATTGGGAAATTGTTTATTGACAACCAGCAATCCCTTCGTCGTGAAGTTGAACTTTCGTTGTCTGGAGTCCAATATACTTCGTTGTGAAGTTGAAATTGAGAATTTTTTTGTTGACAACCAGCAGTCCCTTCTCGTGAAGTTGAACTTGTGTTGTATGGAGTCTAATATCATTTGCTGTGAAGTTGAAATTGGCTATGAATTTGAGAAGTTGTTTGTTGACAACCAGCCGTCCCTTCGTTGTGAAGTTGAACTTGTGTTGTCTCGAGTGGCACGATATCCTCCGTCGTGGAGTTGAAATCGCGGATAGTCACTTCGTTGTGAAGTTGAGCATTGACTTTAATATCATTCGTCGTGAAGTTGAAATCCAAGTATTGTATGTTGCGGGTGGACACAATTCCCTTCGCCGTGAAGTTGAAACCATGGAGACCCCTTAATTGTGAAGTTTGGCTTCGAGCTAGATATCCTTCGTCGTGAAGTTGAAATCCACTCTCGAGCAAATTGTGTTGTTTCGAGAGAAACTTTCAATCTGTCGAGTTGGTCGAAGTGTAGCTTCTTGCTGCTGAGTTAAGCAACCAACATGAATATTTAAAGGTGTTTTTGAGTCGAGTATCCTTCGTTTTGAAGTTGAAACTTGACTCTAAAAGCTGCAAAAAATTATGTATGTGGAGAATGATAAATATGATACTCTAAAATGTATGCATAAGATGCATGTAACATGATTTGGTTATATTTTATCTCCTGAAAAAGGTCTGATAATTTGCATTAGGATGTTGAATTTATGTGGAGAATAAATATGATACTCTAAAATGTATGCATAAGATGCATGTAACATGATTTGGTTATATTTTATCTCCTGAAAAAGGTCTGATAATTTGCATTAGGATGTTGAATTCCCAAATGATGCCCTAATATCCAAAAATGCCCCAATATTTGATGTTGAATCTTCGAAGATGCCCCAAATGTTCCTCATTTCTTGCTTCAGCATTGATTATGAGCATGAGTTTTGTGTCTAAGAGTCACATGTCATTTACCAAGATCCACTCTAGAGAGACTGTCTTGTTTGAAAAACAATGTTTTTCTTTATCTTTTATTTTCAAAGTTCTGAAAATATCAACAAAGAGTTTCGAAAAATGTTTAATCAAAAGTTCTGAAAATATTGTCTCTTTCACGGTTTTACAATTGAGACGAATCATAAAACTAGAGTTTATTGGATATCAAATGTTTAATTACAATGTTAATCCTTCAATAAATTATAGCTATTTGACATGTGCCAAGATCAAAGTTATCTTTGGGAAATGGTTAAGGAAAAGATAAAAAGGTCTCAGGTTATTGTGTTTGGTCAAAGGTTTGGCATTTGATGCTCAAAGGTTTGATAGGGTAGCTTGCATGCTCCTCTACTGGAAGTGTTCTCTGACTCCCAGCTTTCATAGTCACATTTGGATTGTGCGATGCCTTATCAAGGAATTTGTGTGATCGTCTCAGTTGCACAATTTTTATATTCGAGCCGCCTTCTCAGGTTTTCAACTCGAATCATCCTTTGGTTTCAAGACGTTATTCAGGATTTACGTCTTGAACTCCCCTTTGTTATTTTTCTCTACCATGCATTAATTATATTGTTTTTTGCAAACATAGATTAATCCTGATGGGCGGGATGAAATCTGAAGATATTCTCTTTTGTTTAGAAATCCATGTATGATTAGAAGAGACTTTTAAGGCACGTAATGTAGGCCAATATTCATGGTTATAAAAGAAAAGGATAAATAGGCCCAAACAAGTGCTTCAGGGTGTTGAACCAATGATCAATTCATTCTGATGCCTTC